GGCGGGGGTCGGCAGCGGCCTCGGGGTTCGAAGCCTCTCGCGGTGTCTGCCCGCACTCCGGCGCCCGGGGCACCGGGCAGCCCTCCTCCCGGCCCTTCCTGCCTTTCCGCAAGGGCGGAATAAGTTTATCACTCAGACCACCACCGAAAGTTGGGTTTATTGCTCACTAGGCCCGTTTTAATCTCCTAGGGTCTCACCGGGGAGATTTGGTCGGTGGTGGTTGCAGTAGTAAAATTTGGGAAATTGTTTTGGGAAGATTGTGCTTGGTGGAGTTTTGTTGTGTCTGCTGAACGTCAAAAGGATGCAGTTTCGATGTGTCATGAGAAGTCTTCTGTACTAAGGACATACCCTATTCGATTGTAATTACCTTTTAGCCCAGTATTGCACTGATCTGGTGGTTTTGTTTCAATGATTGCTGGGAAAAGTCTTAAAGGCACAGGGGTGTACTTCATGTAATCACTGTTTTAGAAAGTCTCCAGTACCAGTCCAACTGTTGCAGTGAATCAAAATAAAGAGGAAAAGAAGAAAGAAAATGAAGCTGTGAAGCGACATCAGAATGATGTAAGTGGTTATCTTATACTACATAATAATAGAAGAAGGAGTATTGTTTGGCTAGGTTCAGAAAAGGTGCTGAAATCTGAAATACTTTGTTGTATTTTGAAATCTGAGATTTTGGGAAGAAGGCTTGCTATAGCATGCATATAGAAAAAATCATCTAGGAGCTTCATCTTGCATGCGATTAGTAGGGATACTTACACATTCTTAGATCTCTATTTTTTATGTAACAAAAGGATTGGGAAATAAGAGTCAGGATGCTGTGGTTCCTAAAGAGAGTTGATGGTTCACGAACAGTTAAACAGTGCGCAGGATGACTGAAAGAGGATGTTGGCAGCACTAGCTGTAGTTCAGTAGATCTCAGTAATTCACCTTATGCTAAACTAAAGGAAACTCCCTGTGAGTTATCTTATTTGAATCTGATGCTTTGAAAAGACCGTCAGAAATGACGGCTTGCTGGAGAGGTCCAAACTTCTCTCGGATATCAGCCAAATACAAATTCTGGGGCAGGAACACAGGCTGCTTTCTGAGGTCAGACTCACAAAGCCATTTAGGCACAGATTGATGAAGGTGCATTGGAAAATTGGAAAGCCACTATAAAATAGTCAGCAAGTTGGATAGGACTATCCTGTGTATAATTACTTACAAATGCTTTACTACATGTTAGTATAAATTCTAGTACAGTGAAATTTGGTCTCAGTTGGAACCTCTAGGGTTGCATGAACACTGTCAATCCTTTTATTCTGTTTCTCTCACAAATATGTATGTGTATGATTTAATTTGTTACAGCTACAGTGTGAGCCAAGCTTCATAGAAGACAGACTGAAGCTTTACGAAACACTGAAAAAAGAACATGATGCTTTGCTAGCTTACAGAGCAGCCAACCAGAGCAAAACTATCAAAATTACTCTGACAGATGGAAAGATGGCTGAAGGGGAATCTTGGAAAACCACGCCATATCAAGTAGCTGTAGGAATTAGGTAACCTGCAGATTACAGGAGTTGTACTTTTGCAGTGATACATCTGTAACTATCATTTGTCATATGTCACAGACAGTGGATGGTGACTCTCTCGAGTTGATTTATTTGGAAACTATTGAAACTTCAGCTTAATGCAGAAGAAACAGCTGGGTGAAGTTACTGTTCTGAGTAATGCTTGAGGTTCTGTGCTGGGATCATAATACTTGCTTCCAATTAAAAAATAAAACAATCAGTGAGGTTGCTAGAATTAACAGAGACATCTAAAGTTTTGTGAGTTCCCAGGTAATGGTAGAAACTGTTGTTAGAAGCTTTTTTTCCTTCAGATCCCCAACACTGAAAACCATTGAATGAAACGTGAAGTCCTTAAGGGTCTTATGTTAAAAGTAGATGAGTGTTTAAGATGACCACAGAAACAAAACTTAAAGGTCTTTAGATGGTACAAGATGTGGGTGGAGTCTCATGGGGTTTAGAAACCTAAGCACTTCTGCAAATCTGAACCTAAATATTTTGGTCTCTTGTCATCATTTGTTTTTTAGTCAAATGTTGGCTTCAAATGCAGTCATAGCCAAAGTGAATGGTGAATTGTGGGACCTGGATCGTCCACTGGAGGGAGATTGTACTCTGGAGCTGCTTATGTTTGATAATGAAGAAGCAAAAGCTGTGAGTAAACACTCACTGGTTTCTGCTTGATTAAAGGAACTAATGACATGAAATTGATTGCAGCATTATGCTTTTAAAATCTTGAATTAAAAAAAAAATCCACTAATCTATTCAAGTAATGTGTTTGTCATGATTCGACAAAGAATTAGATACTAAGATAATTAGAATTAGATACTAAGTACCTATAATCTCTGGGTGAATAAAATCTTAGTGTTCTTTTCCCTTTTCTTTTACATGAACAGGTTACTTCTCAAATGAGATCATACAGAATATCTTTATTTGTATGCTGACTTGAAGTAGTTTGGTGTCTTCTAAGGCACAAGTTCTATAGTTTGACTGTGCGTTTGAAGATCAGACACTGAAAGCAACAGTGAGGCTGTCTTACAGTTTTCTAAAAATTGTCCAATATCAGATTTGAGTCATAAGTAAAATCTACACCTCCTTGTACCATCACTGTGATTTAGAAAGTTAAGTAGGCATATCTTAGTCCATTAAACGATGAATGTACTTAGTGACACACCCAAAATTATTTTTTATGGGGTTCAGTCTTAAGCCTATGTTTATCTTACGCACTAGAATTAGACTTCATTTTGTCCAAGAATTAATCATGTGATTAAGCTTGTTTGAGGCATTTCAGGAGGCTTTAAAGGCTTTATCTTTGTAGCAGTGGCTAGGAAGTGGTCTGAATTAATAGGGACTTAGAATATAAGACTGGTATTGGTCTACTGGGTTGTTGATGCCCCTCTTCTGACTTTTCAAGTAACGTGGTTTACAGTCCTATTAATAAATTTACTGTATGTGAACAATGGTAACTTAATTGGTTACATTGCCTTAGATGTAGTTAGTATTGCATAGACTCTTAATTGACTGGAAACTAATTTACAAATGAACAAGGTACAGTAAGTACTAAGGTGACAAGCATCATGCGGCTGTATAATCATCTTTCAGACTGAAATACAATGGGACTTTATTGCTACTTCTGCCATTATATGAATCATTTAGCATACTTCAAAATGAGAACAGAAAACTGTTAACACTTCTCGCAGAATTTAAACAAAATTGAGTCCAGTGTATTTCCCATCTGCAGATATACCTCTGTTTTGTTTTTTCTTTTTTGTTACACAACGCCAATGACCCTGTGATTTGCTCACCAGACTTCATTTGCAGGTTTATTGGCATTCAAGTGCTCATATTCTTGGAGAGGCCATGGAAGGTTATTTTGGGGGCTGCTTATGCTATGGACCACCAATTGAGAATGGATTTTATTATGACATGTACACTGAAGATAGGTAAAATTTCAGTGTCTAAAAATGTTAATATTCCCTATTGAAGCTCAGTCCTGAAATTATTTTTGTTCAGTCATGTTTCTGCATGTTAAAAGTAAAATTGTGTACCTAGTATGGTTTAAAACTGACAGGTTAGTCTTCCTCATAGTATAGGTCTGTGTATACATATATGTTGAGTGTTTGTGTATATTTAAATTCAAGAGCCATGTTCGAACACTTGCTCTGTAAGACTTGCAGCTATTGAATGTTCGTGAAAAAATGTAGCATGTTTGGCTAAAACTTTCTGAAGTTCCAGGGAGATAGGAGACAGTTTCCTTGAAGAATTGTGGGAGTTTGGTTTCAAAGTGCCATAGTCACTTGTAGAAATGGCACGTGTGCATATATATAACTTGTGTACTACTTTTCTAATCCTTCTGCACAGCTTTACAATTCTGTTTTTCCCTTGTTTATCTTCCTGTAGTCAGGGAGAATACTGAATCTGCATCAGCTGATAAACTAGCTCTTGCAGCTGGGTTGAGACTTTTTTTTTTTGCTTTTTTTCCTTAAATCATATATACTTAGAGCTACAGATCTTCCAGACGTTTAAACATGTCAAAGGCTGTTCTAGGAATGATTGCAGTGGGTTTGTTCAGGGTGATACCAATTATGTTTCTGAGTTTAGTGTCTGAAAGTACAGCCAATTGTAAGAAATTAAGGAAATACTGTGACAAATCACACCACCACATCCCATGTTTTTCAAACTAGACTACTAGAAAGTGGTCACTTAAAAAATGTGAATACCAAAATAATTAATTTATATTTCTTTTGCTTGTGTCTTTTTGTTTAGAGGTGTATCTAGTACTGAATTCCCACTACTAGAGAACCGCTGTAAAAATATCATAAAAGAGAAGCAGGCTTTTGAAAGGCTGGAAGTCAAAAAGGAGATCCTGTTAGACATGTTTAAGGTAAATCTTTGGAGTAGCTGTGATTCTGGTACAGTGATCTTTTAAAATGTAGCTTTTATAAGATACTGTATGTGACTGACTCATCATAATAGTACCTGTGTAGTAAAATAAAGAAAAAGAGTAGCATCCCTTTCCCCCTTCTCCATGTCCCTCTCAAGTGTTCAGGGTGTTTTCAGGCAATAATAAAAACTATTCATTATTACACAAAACCACCTCAAGCTTAGTGAGATGACAAAGAAATTAGTACATAAAAAGCATAAAAAGTTCATTCTGGCTCACTTGCAGAGACAAGTCAAAAAAAACTTTGTCCTTTAGTCTTCTGTTTTACACAGTGAATTTTACCAGTCTCACTGTACTGTTTTAATTGCCTTTCAAAAGCTCTTTGAGGTGTTCAGGTGGTAATCACTGTGCTTAACAAACCCACAGGGAAATTAAGACTTTTTTTTTTCCCCTCTTTCCTCTCTTGTTTTATAGGATGTTGAACTTTTGCATACATATATGTGATGGTGTGATTTTTTTTTTTTTAGTTGTCCTTTACTGATGCATTTGCATTACTAAGACATAATTTTAAAATAGAATTTTATTAGCCATTTTATTGATGTTTCTGACTTTTCATGTTTCCACACACAGTATAACAAGTTTAAGTGTCGTATCCTTAATGAGAAGGTGAACACACCAACCACCACAATATACAGGTAAAGAAAATTAAGTTAAAAGGTATTGTGAAATATTTCTGTAGTTAGGTATATTTCACTTAAATTGAGAGGAGAACAATTTTTCTTTTATTTTTATTTTAACTTCTGGATACTTGTGTGATTGGGACTTTAGTTTGCAATTAATATTGCTACTTATGTAAAATCAGATCTTTTCTCTCTCTGCTGGGAGATTAGGTCTCAATTTGTTGACAAATGGCAAATCCTCTTTTTGCTCATTTCCTCTGGTTTCAGTAAACAGATTAAAATAGGTTAGACATTAGGAAAAATTTCTTCACAGAAAGGGCTGTCAGGCACTGGAATGGGCTGCCCAGGGAAGTGATCGAGTCCCCATCCTTGGAGGTGTTTAAAAGATGGATAGACAAGGTGCTTAGGGACATGGTTTTAGTGGTGGGATGGCAGTGTTAGGTTAACGGTTGGACTTGATGATCTTAAAGGTCTTTTCCAACCTAAACGATTCCATGATTCTGTAAGGTACTGCCCATGACATTGAATTGCTGGATAATGGGTAAAGCTAACTCTTAGCTCAGTGTGGGGTGAGGAACCTGTTCATTCAATTGCCAGGGATAAAACTAGTTAGTTGGGAAATGCACTGAATTTGCTGAGTGATGCATGTGTATACTTATTAGTGTGTTTGAACATGCCAGGCATTAACTTGTATGCCATTAGTGACTGTATTTGAAATTGTTGGAGTGTTTTGAAATGCTTTTTCTTCTGGTCTATAGATGTGGTCCGCTGATTGATCTCTGCAGGGGTCCACATGTAAGACACACTGGAAAAATTAAGACCCTTAAAATAGTTAAGGTAAGTTTGAATTAACTATGCATTAAAACTTAAATAAACTATGGGCCAGTTGATTTATTTATGTATTTATTTCTCCTGAAGTGTTTATGCTAGGGTCCTTTGTATTGTTTTCTTTGCTTACTCTGAAAATAGTCCTTCATTTCTTTCCCAGCTCCCATTGTACAAGTAGAACTGCAGACTTTCATAATTGATCTGCTTTCAAGGTCTACGGATTCTTGATCATCATAATGGTACTTCAGTGAAAGTTAACAGCATCTTTTTTTTTTCTCAGAATATTAGTGTAGTAACATGCCTGCTTAGACTATAATGAAGAGCACTGCAAAAATACTCAAGGAACTAATGGCTAGATTAGCTGTGGACCGGTTATACCATACATGGTAGAGAAGTGCAGTGCCTAAGCTAACGTACAGGAGGTAAAGCGGACCCTGGCAGATCTGCAAGTGCTGCTGTTTCAAAATGGCATTGCTCGCAGGAAAGCCAGAGACAGTGTTTGCAGATGCCTCTGGTTATGATGTAGTTTAAGTTACTTGCAGATGCTAGTTTTGGTAACCTTATTAGGCTGACCTCAGTGGAACATTCATCATAGTTACTTTTACTGGCTTCCTAGCTGAAGTTCATGGAGCTTTGAGTTCCAGGGATTAAGTGTTAGATGTCAAAACAGCTAGGATTTAGGTGTGAGAGTGAGTTATCTTTCGTGTTTCTCTACTGCATTGTGTTTTGAATGGAAACAAGTGCTGTGTTCTTAGAAGATATAATGTGAGATAATAAAACATGACATGATGTGAGTTAAAACAAGGTACCTAAGTAGAATAAAAAGTATGACTTGACCAGTCACTTTTGTTTGTCTTCTGTATTAGTATGCTGACTAAAAGGCAGTGCAAGTATCTTTGTATTATACACAAATGCTGGATGACTGCATGTAATTTTTCCAAGGAAAAAAATCATAACATTTGAATGCATTAGTGTTTATTCCTCCTTTCCCTGAGATAATATATAATCTTAAAGTACGGGTTTTTTGTATCAGAATTCCTCTACGTATTGGGAAGGAAAATCTGATATGGAAACTCTACAAAGAATATATGGAATATCCTTTCCTGATAACAAAATGATGAAGGAATGGGAAAAATTCCAGGAAGAAGCCAGAAACCGGGACCACAGGAAAATTGGAAAGGTACCCTATTTCATGTTCTACTTCTCTTTTTATGCTTCTGTGTTACAGACTTTATTCTCTTTCATTGATTGGGGTTTTTTTTTTCCATTTTTTGACAGTTTGAGTGGGAGTCAGTTCTGTGAACTTCTGTGTCAGCTGTGTTTTAAAATTTTAATTCTACAAACTCAACTTGTCACTTGCATACAAATGTTCAACTAATGTTGGGAAGAAGTAATGGGGTAGCCCTCGGTTTAGGGAAGTATGTCTTAAACCTTTTAATGTAGAGTCTTTTTAGATCCTACCTAAAGTGCTGTATTTTTCATAAAGAGAGAAATTGTTGGAAAATGTATAATATGGTTTGGTCATTCTTTATTATAGGCATAAATAAGGCAATAGTCAAGTGTATGTACCTGCAGTACTTCAGCTGGTGTGAATATTGTTCATAAATATTGTACATATGACAGAGTTCTGATAAAGAATGACTGGCTCACAAGCTTCAGCCATCAACCCTCAGATCTGATGCGTATGCGCTTGATTGTTTTGGTTACTAAAGATAAGATTGGTTAATGCTTCAGGATTTTGAGGAAACGTGTATTTGCGTAGTCAAATGGAATTCCGGTGTTACTACAAACTTTGAAGAGTGATAACTACAGATAAATTAACTGCTGTCGCTGAGAACTTGTAGACTTCGGGAAATCATCTTGTTGCTGTAATATTTCATTTTTCTGAACAGTCTCAACATGTGTGATGTAGTCATGTTCTGCAGTTCTGTCTGAAGCAATGTTGCAGCATTCTGTTTTTAATTTGCCTAGGAGCAAGAACTCTTCTTCTTTCATGATTTGAGTCCTGGAAGCTGCTTTTTCCTCCCCAGAGGTGCCTTTCTTTACAACACACTCGTGGATTTCATACGAGTGAGTATATACTAATGTAACTCCTAACAAGTTTAATATCAGTTGTTGATCTTAAGTGATAGGCCATTCATAGCACTGAGCTGTCCACAGAAGGAGAAACATCTGTGTATGTAAACATATACCAGATTTTCACTATAATTGCACAGATCTAACCTGTTTGAAAGTTGAGCAGAGTAAAGCATTGACCTGTGCTTTCAGAACCTACACATGCAGTAGTCTTTCAGTCTCCCAGTAAATTGCCATCATAAGAACACTGTTAAATAGAATCAGGCTTTTGCTTGTCAAAACCTCTGTCACCTATAGAATGTTGAATTTGTTTTATAGGAGGAATATCACAGGCGTAATTTTACTGAAGTTGTATCTCCGAACATCTTCAACAGTAAACTCTGGGAAGCTTCAGGACACTGGCAGCACTACAGTGAAAATATGTTCTCTTTTGAGATTGAGAAGGAAACTTTTGCCCTTAAACCGATGAATTGTCCAGGACATTGGTTTGTACTCTCAACTGAAAAACTTCTTATTTTACTATATTTATCTTTTGTGGGGCTGAGGGGAAATAAATGGAGTGTTAATATATGTTATCATGTATGTTTACAATAGACTACAAAGCAACTAGTGTGTCCAGAGAGCTCCCCTGACTGTGTCCCAAAGCAGACCAAATACAGTTCTTGTAGGAGGATCTTTCAATAAGTCTGCACTAAGTGAGCTAGGTTTGTGCATGCTAATAGTAGTCTGTATCACTAGTAAATAGAAATTACGTTGGATAGAGGTAGGCATCAGATGTGGTGTACCACAAGAAGGTACAGATGAAGCGGTCTTGATGGTTACTCTCACAGTGGTTTTTTTCTTAGTGATCTTTAGCAATACATTGAGTGCTGCAATTTTTCAGTTTACCTGCCTTTTTAGGATACACACAACCATTAAAAATGTGACTACTGTCTGTACTGATCTTGTTTTAGTTTGTGTTGTCTTAAATATTCTGTAAGAAGGATAAAAGGAAGGTTCTTTCATGTTCCTTCTAGCTTGATGTTTGCCCATCGCCCACGATCCTGGAGGGAAATGCCTCTTAGACTTGCAGATTTTGGGGTTCTTCACCGAAATGAACTCTCTGGGACTTTAAGTGGCTTGACTCGTGTAAGGCGCTTCCAACAAGACGATGCTCACATCTTTTGCACAATAGAACAGGTAAAAAAAAAAACCCAACAACCACAAGAAACAACCACCACCCTCACCCCCACCAGTCAAACAAACAAAGAACGAACCTGTTCCCTACCCCTCCCAGCACAAACATGAAACAAGAAAAAATCCCCAAAGTATTTAAACTCTAGCTGCTTCTACTGTGTTGCTTTGTAGTATAATGCTGCTTTTCATGGGTTTCTTTGATATGTTTAGGTGCTTCCTTCTTAGTCATCTGGTATTCCATATTTCTTAACCTTTTGCAATATTGTTTAAGTCAACAGCCTGTTGAACTTAGCTTCTCTGTTACAAGTTTCTCAAACAGCAGTGCCATAATTTGTTACTTATTTTCCTCTTTGAAATTAAAAAATGCTTACATCAAAAGAATAAAACAATGTTATTTAAGGGATGTTGTTGATTGTGAATTGCATAATAAGATTTTCTGTGTAGAATTTTTCCCTTTAGAAAGATACTTTTGGCAAATTAAATCCCAAAAGGTAAAATCTTTTGCATGCCACATCTCCCCCCCTGCAAAGAAAAAAGCTGTTGACCACATTTTGTTTTCCATAGTAATGCTGAATAAATACTTTTATTTTGTCAGTAATACCATAGATTTTTGTGGAGCTATGTGAATAAATTGATGTAATCTTGTCAAGTCTGACTCATGCAACTTGGCTCCAGAAGCCCAGGCTTAACAAGAATGATATTCTTCTTGCCAGGCTTTGAAGCCACACCACCTCAGTTCTCTCTTCATCTGTTACCTAGATTTGGGTTTGTAGAATGTGATTCTTTTGTGATTTTCAGGTTTGTTTTTTTTTTCTTTAACGGACTCTAATATTCTGATTATGAGGAATTCACTAAATCCAATTGCATTTTTATGTAAGTAAATTTTAACTAATGTATTTTGTTTACATTTAAGATTGAAGAAGAAATAAAGGGCTGTCTTGATTTCTTGAAGTCAGTTTATGCTGTCTTTGGTTTTACCTTTCAATTACATCTTTCTACAAGACCAGAAAACTATCTAGGAGAGTTAGAGATCTGGGATCATGCAGAAAAGGTAATTAATTTGAAACAAACAAACAAACCCCTCAGTATTTGTATTTGCAGAGGTGGATATTTAACCAAGTTCTTTCATGTAGTAGTGAAATTGCTGAAATCAGATGCTAAATATTGTCCTTAGTGGAAATGCTTATTGAGAAATGTCACATTAAATGTGAAGCTTCTTTATAAAATGAGAACTTTCTGGTTCTTACCTAGCTGCTTGTCTTGAACTGATGTGATTTTTATTAATCTTTTTTCCGATAAATCACAACATTTGTACAAAGAACAACTCCTATTTCAAGATTATTTAACATAAATGAGTAAATGCTTGAATAATAGGAGTCGTGCTGCCTGTTGACTCCCTATGTATTTCTAAGGCAAATGCTTTGATTGACAGTAATGAAAGGCCCTGCTATACCTTTTTTAATTATTCTCTCATTTTTACAATTAGCAACTTCAAAACAGCTTGGATAACTTTGGAGAGCAATGGAATTTGAATCCAGGAGATGGAGCATTTTATGGTCCTAAGGTTAGTGAGTCAGCATTTTAATACAGCTTTGGGATGGACAAGAATACAGACACAATGCAGGAATACTATATGTAGTAACGGTGTTATTTTGCTTCACAGATTGATATTAAAATCAAAGATGCTATTGGCAGGTACCATCAATGTGCTACTATCCAACTTGACTTCCAACTACCCATTCGATTTAATCTTACTTATGTTGGGTGAGTGGTTAAGCGAAATGTCTTCCTCTTTTAAGTGAAATAATTAAAAAAAATGGTTACTTTCATTATCTGTAATTCCCATTAAACAGAGATGTATTAATGCTCTGTTGCTCACTTAACAATTGATTAGCCTGTATATCAGTAGCCTGGCTAGGAGGGGAACCATCCCTGGTGAGCAAAGGATGAATCGCGAACTTGAAGGTATTACCTCAATGTAATGGTAGTTCACTTTAATTGTAAATGCTACTGATCACAGGAAAATTTTATGATCTGTCTTGTCTGCCAGTTCTGAAGATAGCTGATCATATATTATGCTAAAGAAAACTCAGTGGAGTCAGTTTTCACTTCCAGCCTAGTCACTGTGTCTCCTTTGAAGACATTGCATAGAAATTCAAACATGTCTTAATGAGCTAGTATGCTTGCAATATGTACTTCATTCTTTTTATCAGAAAGTTAGTTAACTTTGATGAACATAAACCAAATGTGAACAGTTTTAATGAAAATCTCACTTCGGCTTCCAGCTAGGAAGAGGGGTGTTTATCCACTAAGTAATCCTAGTACCATATTGACTTGAACACACATTTTCTGGGTTGTTTTTCTTGCTTTATTTTTTTTTGCATATTACTACAAAGAGTTTGATGGGGAAGCTAGCATAAGAGTCTTTGTTATTTTTTGATCCTGCTCCATGTTCTACAGTATATGTTGCAGCTCTTCGGTAGGTGATAATACTGTTATGAACAGCAGCTGGCGTTTTTTTAATCACAGGATTGTAATTCAAGACAAGAAATGAATAGTGAAGGCAGGTAAGATCCTGTGCAACAAAATAAAAGCAAGACATAGTGGAAAAGAAAGAACGAGGAAGAACATAAAATATTAAAATGCAGAAAAGTGGAGCTGAGTCAGTTGAGTGTCTTTCCAAACTTAGGAGTTTGTGCCTATGCCACTAGCTACAGGCATGATTATTTTAAGTCACTATGATTATTTAGTATTCCTTTAAAAGCCAAGATGACTTAAAGTACATTTTTAATTAAAATGGTAGATTTTTCCTCAGTATAAATAACTAAATTTTGTTTTTGCATGAAAAGTAGAATCAAAAATATTAGTAGGATTATCTGTGTGTGAGCTAAGACAATTTAAAAAAAAAAACCAAAACTTTACTTACTCTTTTTCAGTAAGGATGGTGATGATAAAAAAAGGCCAGTGATTATTCACAGAGCTATTTTGGGATCTGTGGAGAGAATGATAGCTATTCTAGCAGAAAATTACGGAGGAAAATGGTATGTGTCACAAATGCAATTCTAAGAAATGTTTAACAACGTAGAAAGTACAGATCCTCCTTAATGTCCCATCTATTATAAGGCAAAATAATATCCCTAGAGTTTTCTGAAAATTATTAGGGAAGATTATAAGGATATAATTTCTATTTTGTGGTCTGAGTTGTATGATAACCTTTTATTAATAGTTCATTATTAGAAATCCTATTTCATGAGACTGCAGGAAAACTTATACACTAAAGCAGAAATAGGAATTGTAATTGAATGTATATGTGCTGCATTGTTTGTGTTCCTTTTCTCTTAAAAATGCTTTTGCACTGGGGAGATGTTAGACATATGTAAAGCAATTATTTATACAGGTATGAATTAGTACTAATATGTGAAATATTTTTTAACTTGTAAAATGTATTGTTTCATCTTGAATAAGCTCTGAAGATATTTCTTCATTAATTTATTTAAAGTATTGAGTTAATTCTTTCAGCCACCTATCTGTCTGACTTTCTACTTTTCACTATAAAGTTATAAATAAAAGTGGAAATTATGCAAAAAAAATTAAATTGTGAAGTCAGCTAGGAAGTGAACAGAAGATCAAAGTCCTGAGTATGTCATTTTACTGGAATCAGTCAATTTGCTATTTTATATGACCTTGAAAAAGGGAAGAGAACATATTATCCACCATCCTTAGCTACCATAAATATTTTTCTAAAGTAAAGGAATTGTTACTGGGGAGCATGACTATGGATATGAATGCAAATGTAAAATGCACATTTATTTCATATTTTCCTTGTCCCGCGTGCCAGGCCGTTCTGGCTGTCTCCACGGCAGGTGATGGTTGTGCCTGTGGGACCCGCTTCTGAAGAGTACGCCCAGCAGGTGAGAGTAGGGCCTTCCTTTTTATAGTAGCAAGCAATGTTCATAGCTTCTTAAGTACTTGTCCTAGAACAGAGAATGAATGCTCTAACAATTTTGGAGACATATTTGCGGGGGAGAGGTAAATTTTTCCATATAGTCTAAAATTTGTGTAAGCCTGAGAAAAGGGATATGTAACTTGTAAATATTTTGGGTTCTGTTACTATGTACGTACTGAAGTAACTATTAAAGGAAAAAACATTCTGGATTACAAACCCTATATACTAACTAATGTTTTATTACAGAATTATCTGCTTAAAGTAGGGGCAGGGCTGGTTTCTTCCATTTCCCAGCAGGTATACTTTTGACTACATTTGGCCACGGTCAGTTTTACCCCTCTCCCCTGCTTTGCTTTTAATACAAGCATAAGTGGGTTTGTTCCTTCTCTTTCTCCTTGCTCATACTGAGGAAACAAATTTTTGAAATTCAGCAGTGCAGCTGTCTGAGGAGATCAGCAAACACTTGATACAGATTTTACCTTGTATTGTCTTCCAGCTGCAGTCCTGCCAAGCCCTTAAGTGTGTGTGTAGTTTTCTTCAAATAACTTCATTGACTTCCTTACAACGATTCACGGGAGTGAAATTACGCACATACGCGACTTAATTATTGGAAGAGATCAGGGATTACGGCATGTACAAATTTATGTTGTAGAATATACATACACTGGAATATTAAGTGAGAGTTTTTCTTTTTTTTTTTTTTAGGTTTGCAGCAAATTTTTTGAAGCAGGATTTATGTCGGATGTGGATCTAGATCAAAGTTGCACGTTAAACAAGAAAATTAGAAATGCACAGCTGGCCCAGTATAACTTTATCTTAGGTAATTGCAACATCTTACATTTCTGAGTATCATTTAAGTTGGGCATAGAGTTTGTCTAGACTCTCATTTTGTGATGTAGGTAGTTTAATATTGTTTGTGGTATGTCTTGCAGTGGTTGGAGAAAAGGAGAAAGCAAATAATGCTGTCAACGTGCGAACAAGAGACAACAAAGTTCATGGAGAGATTTCAGTATCTTCTGCTATTGAAAAACTCAAAAAATTTAAGAGTTCACATGTCTCAAATGCAGAAGAAGAATTCTGATGTTGTTGTTAGCAAAAAAAAAAATTATTAGCCGCCTATGTGAAGCTCAAAATAAACAAATGTAGCAATGTTGGTGCCCAGAAATAGCATGAAAGGAGCTGCCGACTCCTTTGACAATCCCATGGGATTTCAATCTGTGCAAGTTTGTTTAAGAAGTCCTACATCTCTGCTAAAATATGTTGGGTTTGTTGTGGCAATAAGTCAAGGCTGGGAAGCGCATTGGCCGCTGCTACGGCTGCTGAGCTGCCTCAGTCACGTAGCAGCTGCATGACTGGTGTGACCTGGAGTCCAAGGCTTGCCAGTTGGGGGGTGCATCAGGAACATTTGGGTTTTGGGGTTTTCTTGAACTTCAGATTTTCTTTTTTTTAAAAAGGGGGGGTGGGGGGTGGGGGGAGGAGGAATAGCTTGATTCTTCCTGAACTTCCATTCACAGGCTACAAATATATTGGTGCCTTTGCTGGAAATCTCAGTGAAAGGAGGAGCTGATTGAGTTGGTGTGATAATGGGTTGCTGTAAAGTGATTGTCAAGAATGAAGCTGAATTACTCACCGTACTTGTGTGTGGAAAATGGTTTATTTTTTCCTGTGTTTGCTGTTGACTTGGCTTTTTACTAAAAGAAACCTTTGAAAAAAAACTGTGTGTAATTTATTGCTGTATTTGCTTGGGATATTGAGAACACTGAAAAGGTGTGGATGACAATTTCCATTTTAAAACACAGCATGTTGGAATTCAGATTGGCCATGTTGATCTGACTTGTTTATGCTTATAAAGGGTTTTAAAGTTACTGGTGCAAGCAACTGAGTTAGATTTTTTGGAGAGGAATTCTTACCATGATTTTTATTTCTTTTATGTGCTGTTTTTTGGTTACAAGGCTTAGCTAGTGTTAAATGTGTTACTCAACTATCTAAGCTATACAGCTGTAGTTGTGATTTAAATATTACTGAAATGAAGCAGAAAATACTATTTAGTGCAGAAATTATATACAAGTACAAAGGCAGTGTTTTCCTTTGGCCTGGCACGGGTGCAGAGTAGTGTTCAATAGGCCTGGTTTGTATTGGTTTGGGTTTGTGCATCTGTTTTTACCAACTGATTATCCCCTGCTTTTAAAAGAAAAGAAAAAAAACGGAACAAGTGCTGGGAAAGCTTTCTGTTCCACTTTATGGAATTAACATTGGGGGGGAGGGTGATTTTTATGTCTATTTATTCTTAATAATATATTTTACATATGAAAGGCCATATTTTTATGGACTACAGCCTAGTCAGACTGCAGAATTAAAACTTTAGTCGTTTTTTTACAGTGAATTTCTAGGTATAACAAATCTAAGACTTAACTTTTTAGCATGAATGTATCTGTGCTGTCGCCATTTCCATTTTCAGATGACCTGCAGCAGAGAGAGAAGTCATTGAAGGGCATACATTAATAAAACCAACACAAATTAAAACCGGCTTTAGGGTGAAAGAGCTAGGGCAAGGCCGGGCAGGCCCAGGGCCTCCGACCGCTGGCCGGAGGAGCGAGGGACGCTTGGAAGGACTTACCGAGGCGGGGCGGGAGGTGCGGTTCGTGCCCAGAGCTGCCG